TGGGTTAATCAAAATAATATAATTGCATTGAAATATTATTAACCGAAATATTTTGAAACACCAAAACATAATTAATTACTGAAGCCCAGATATTGAAAAAAAATTCCAACATCCATTTCAAACTACAACCCTAATCCAATCTCACCCTAAACTTATACCCAACTAGGCAAGTACCAATTCTTTTTCTCCCTCAAAACCTAAACCCTAATTTGCATTTAGCAATGGCTCGGAAGCGCAGTCGCATTGACCTGTCACCGGATCCCATGCCAGCAGCCATATTAGCAATGGAACCAGACAGTCGGCTGCCACCGGAAAAACAGTTTTTTTCGTTAGGTTTGCCCACCTCGGACCCAACAAAAAAGAACCCACCACCGCCGTTTGGGGAATTCCTGCAATGTTGTTGCTGGTGCAGTTGCAACATCAGTCCCGATATTAATATATACATGTATGGGTATGTATTGCTTCCTCTGTCTCTGTTTCTTCCCATATTTTAATTATCTCTATTTCTTTCTTCTTCTTTCTTTTTAGTTTCTATTTGTGTTCTAGACCTGAATGTCAGTGGTTCGATTTTCCTTATGCTCTTTAGTACATTGGAGGGGCTAAAAGCCCCTATGAAACTACATTGATCCTATAGAAAGAAACTCCATAGAGTTCATCCAGCAAAGGCCTTCCATGCATAACTCATAGGTGAACACCAATATATGAAAGGCATAAAATATTAAAGTCCCGATTTCAAAAACCAAGAAAGATTACAAACCTACAGAGCGAAACACCAAATTTATCGGCTAACTAATTATTCTATTGAAGCTCAGCTGGAAAAGTTGTTTAAATCCTCCACACATCTGAGTTAGGGTTTTTAATATATGTGTATTTATTTAATTTGCATCACAAAACACGTGTAAAGATTTTCTTTCTTGCTTTTTTTTTCCCAAGAGAAAAAAGAAATAATTAAACTTAACAAGAGTAGCTAGGTATAGAGAGAGAGCCCGGGTAAATCGTTAAAAGGTATCCTAGATTGTTGGCATAGAGGATCATGTAATCCCCGAACTCAGATGCGTACGTGGAATATTTGAACAACTTCTCCAGTTGAGCTTCAGTAGAATTTGTCAAAGTTTGGGGTTCCCTTCGCTCTGTCCAACTCTATCATACATGACTGCTCCTATGAAACTAACTTTCTTTTTTAATTTTTTTTTTTAAATGTAAATTTGTCTTGAATAAGTCTTTATATTCATATTTGAATTTTAATGGTTAAGATCGCACTAATATTAGTTCATGCATCTCATCTGTTGATAATTAAAATGGCTTCCGATCGATGAATCCATTTTTCAAAAAACTCAGCTTTATGCTTCCTCCCAACATAAGTCCAATCCATTGCTGGTAACATCATGTTCAGCCTTCTGTTTAATATCTCAGCAGTGCTTAATATTTATTTAGATTGTAATTGTAATTGCAGTTGCTTATCGTCCCATTTTATAGTGTCTATTGCATGTTAGTATATTAATTAAATTTTACAATAGAATACAAAGTTAGCTGTGATTATGATTATTGCTGATATTGTTAATTAGTGAATAGGCCGTAAGTGTTGGGAAATTTGTTCTCTCAAACTCCAATGTCAAGCGGGTCCAGGGGAAGCCCGTGGCGGGGAACCACCACCAATGAGCTAAGGCTACACCAACCGTAGCAAGTGGATCCGACACCATGTCTCAACCCAAAACCTTAAAGCATTGGGTTCATGGGTCCTTTCACTTATATACTCTTCACTTAGCTCATTACCAACCAATGTGAGACTCATCACACTTGAATATCTCAACAGTAAGAGACAAGCCATAAGCTCCTAATTTATTCCTTGGTTGCTCCATTGGTTGATTGTAATCAAACTATAAATAAAAGATATATTGTACAGGTACATGCAATTTTTCTAAAACACACTCTATTTCAAATGCTATTATTATAGTGGAGATTTGGCTCTTTAATTTATGCACTTTAGAGAGAGAAAAAAATTAGAATTACACTGGTTAATTCAAAAATCAACAACTAAGTTTGTAATAAAATACATATGCATATACATATAACGAATTATGAAATTATTAGAATTCATTTTAGTTAAATTTTTAATCAACTTTTAAAACTCTGCATTTTGTTTCTTCTAAATTACACCCCTTCACTTTAAACAAGTTCAAATCCTATAACTGGACAGCGTTTAAGCACTTGGAACTACTGTTTCCGATGGAAACTTACATAAGCAACATAGTTGAGGCGGGACTCTTCTTATTATGACATTTTTAAGTTAGGAAAATCGTACTCTCATATTGCATGAGATTGATCACTTATGTTGTCCCACTTTGTTTATCTCTCAATATGAGAGAACTTCTCTCCTACTACATGAAAGAAATAATCCTTTTTAGAGGGTGTTAGGTAGAGGGAAAAAGTTTTATGCCTGAAAATCACGATTACTAAGAATATGCTCGGAAAGTGAATCCAAAAATACTATCCCATGTTAGTATTCTTAAAAGGCATTTTGTCTTAAAAAAATTTCACAAATCAGAAAACAATCTTGTACCAACACCCCCCCTTAAGTTATTAGATGACCCTTTATAGAGGGATCCAATTATATAATATTATCATTGCAGGCTTGATCATAGGGCTTAGCCCATGATCTAATTTTGTTAATTTTTAAAGGGCCCGAGTTTGAAAGCCTAATTATATCTTTAAGCAAAACCCGAAACAGACCCAGTCCGTTGGTCTATTGGGGAATGACGTGTACATTTACGCTCTTTTTACCTTAATTATTTTTTATAAATTACAGAGTATATATATTTTAGATCATCTTATTTTATAAGATACTTTTTTAAATATTAGTATGTATCATTCGTAATTTATATTTATTATTTATTTTAAATTTAAATTTAAATTATTTTTAATAATTATGTATATTTATCTTATTATTTTAAATATTTTTTATTTTTTATTTTATTTTACCTCAAATTAAAATAAATGTGAAATACGCGGAATATATACGAAGGTAATGAAATATACTTGCCAACTGACACATTAAATTTGAACGATGCAGGTCCCTTGGTGCATATTGCTCACCTGAATGCCGAGAAGCAAGGATTAAAGTAGATACATTTTTTGAAAAACGTTATTCCAAATCTGATTCGAGTGACAAGGGAACGGAAGGCATAAAGGAAGATGATCCAGTGCTTTGATTTTAATTTTAACAGAAACTGATGCTGTGACCAGCTCTTAAGTACAGAGGTACCCAGCGGCATTTATTTTGGCAGCTGAAAGCCTTTTTTTCTTTTTCTTTTTCTTTTTTGTTCATAGCTTCAAATGACAAAAGGTATATCTATATATACACACATTGAAGGTAAATTACACTCACCTTCTCCTTATAATCTCTTCACGTGTTTTTACAGTAATCATTTTTCCTTGCGAAAACTGCTGTTTAAGTTTTGATATTCAATTATTTTGGACCATTAGTTAGCCTTCGTCACTTGCAATTTCTTGTTGCAAGGTCAGTCGTAGTTGTAGCTACTATTCCGAAAGTTTCCGAAACATATCCTCATTTATAGCGATTTGAAATAGCCACTATTCCAACATTTCCCAAAGCATATCCTGAGTTCCACCTAATAGTAACCGCATTACAAAGGGTTTGAAATGTGATTGCTATTGAGCGCAACTTCATGTTACAATACCTAACTTAATGTTGGACATATAATATAATAATTTTATATCAATTTAAAATTTTATTTAACTTAATTTTTATAGTTATATATTAATTTATTACTTAATGCATTATATAACATTAATTTAATCACGATTAATTCACTGGTTCGTTTTTAAAACATTACTTAACACACATAGAATTTGAAAAGGAAAAAACTACACTGACTATAGTCTGATTGGTAAAAAGCAAACAGCCATTGATTAGGCATGTAAATAAGGAAAAAATCTAATATATTACGGTAATAGGTATATTTAACGAATAAAAACGTGTCACATCAACTACAATTATTGTAAAGAACTTTGGGATACACCACCCCAAAAGTTAGCTCAAAGGGTAGGAGTGCCCAAGGCCTTATAATACATAATATATTATAAAGATCACATTAGTTGCTCATACAATCAATGTGGAATTATATATCTCAACAATTGTGGAGAGAAAAAAATAACTTTTATATTTTACATTACATATTACCAATAATACATAATATAAAGTATATAGTGGCATCCAATTTTCGTGCTACAACTGTACCGTAAATAGCATCTCTGAAGAGAACCTCCAATGTACCTTTGAAAGCTGTAAACCTGTCTTGAGCCTTTCTAGTTTGTTAAATAACTCGACAATAAAAAGAAGAGCATGAAGCAGGCATGGAACACTAAATGATATCAAAGCAACCTTTATCAATAAAATCATTACTCATGCTGATGCAGACAGAGTCAGACAACAGAGCGGGGGAGGCTCTGGAATTTTATTATTAATTAACTAGAATTTTCTCCTTCTTCTTTTTCGTTACAATTTCTTTTTCATCACTGTAGCAATCAGTATACATCAAGATTCTCATTTTCTCTGTATTAGAGATATATAAAAAAAAAATAGAAGTTTGTACCCAAATGATTATTATGACGAGCTTTCCACCTTCATTCAGTCATCATGAATATTCTCCAAAAACAATTAAAGAATCATGAATAAAAAAAAATCATCTTCTTCCAACATCCTGCACACACACACACACACACAAAAAAAAAAGCTTTGGTCATGAGTATGCGTGCAGCGTGCGTATCATTAGTTAATTTAAATGAACAGAAACTAACATTAATAAGCAAAGAATATTTTAGTACCTAATGATTGTGTGGGAGTGGCAATTGTCGTACGGAGCTTTAGACATTTGCAAAGTGAGTGTTTGTTAATTGGGTATCAAATTATGCACAGAACAGAAGCTGGCGTGAGAGACGAGCTAATAAGATGATGATGAGTTGTACTACTGATCATGTGTAAGGCATGGCATGGCATGGCATGGCTGTAGAGCAAAATTACATATTAGCACCTGACAATGAAAAAGTAAAGTTAGAATTAGACATGGAGGCTGAGACCAACCAAAAGCAGAATGAAAAAGCATGAAAGAGAAGAAAAAACAAAAAAAACTAACCTTTTTCGGTAAGTGGGAAATGGGTTGTCTCTATCAAACTCCATGGATATATTTCTTCAAAGTAACTCCCGCTTGTTGACCAGTTGCTGAATAAATAGGTAGTGCCATGTAAGATTTCTAATTCAGAGGGGGGAAAGGGGGAGGAATAATTGTAGTGACAAAAAAGGTGAAAAAAACGAAAGGACTTCAAAGTAAAAAAAAAAAAAAAAAGATTGAGATATAGACTATTCAGACTATGTTACCATATTGCCTAACGGATTCATGAAATCAATTTGTATATCTAGAAAAAGAAAGATACAATACAACTAGTGGCAAATAACATATCAGCATCCACTCTATTTTATTTTTGGAGATTTCAGTATCCACTCTATTGAATCTTGTACTTTTGGTCTATCCAATAATAAAATAAGAAAAAGGACACCGGGACCCCCCCTTTGAGGCCGGGTAAGATTTGCTTAGAGCTCCACGTAGGTTATCGTTTATCTATTTGTATCTATGTGCATGAACTTAAAAAACACAAAAAACTCATTTCAGGTATCTAAGTTTCTACTATCATACAAGCAAGAATATTGTACTTTTGTAATTGTGAGCAAATGCATAAGGGATAGATAGAGTACTTGAATATGGATGGACGTATCTCAAATCTAGTCCTCCTTCCTTCAGAAAAAGCTTAGTTCAGTATATCCGTGGGAATATGGTAGAAGTTCCTCCACCTCTATTTTGGATCGAGAACAGCTCATACTTTTCTTCAATCTTCCATGACTTGACTCAACCTCAGCCCAAAATATACCAGAAACAGGTCTGTGGTCTGAAAACCTTGATTCACCACGGACGTAAGATAATTGATGGAGACCTTCTCCATACCACAAAATACGGTCACACCTACACAAAGAGATATATTTTACATTGGCATAGTTTGCAACAAAATTATATCATAATTGCATCTTTTCAGCATTTATGGAGCTGGGGTGTTTAATGCTAATTGATAAAATTCCTATTCCTATTACTTTGGTTATGTGAGAGATGATCTTACCAAGCAGGTGTTCGCCTTTTCTCCTTTGGGTGCATATCATCTCCTGCATATCTATCTGAATTAGTTGAATACTTGTATGTTGGAGGGAAATAAATCTTCCCCTCATTCCATCCCACAAATGCACGACCTCTCTTCTGCTCTATTCTCAACTGCAAGGAATCTCAGTAATATTAACATTGATTGTTTTTGATTTACAACAACACAGTTTTAAGGTAAAAGAGAAATTTAGAAAACGGAAGTAGTTGTATAGCTATACCTGGTCATTCTCTAACAATGCTCTCCAGTTTTGCATCTCAACAAGCGCCTTTGCAGAACGGTAGGAGAGTGCAATCCGATAATTCAAATCTCCAAGCCATATAATTCGACTAAATAAATGAATTAAAAATTAGAACAGTTAATGCAAAATTGTTAAATAAAAAGAGAACAAAATCATAATGGGTTTGGAAATTTTAGGAAAACAGAGTTGTTATTGTGTTCATTCTACATGAGACATCTAGACAAGGTGATATATTAGCAATTGCAAGGGGGTCTCAAATTACATACACATGTTAAAAATATTACTCATACTAATGCATGTGAATAGATTCTTACTCATGCTCTAGGATTGTCTCAGGAGACTTCTCATTGTCAGCACCCTGAACACGTGGAAACCTTGTCTTCTTTAGAATCTCCATCACATCAGAATTTCTTCTTAGTTCATCACCCTCTTTCTGTCCAGAGGTTAAGTGGCTACAAATGAAGCAAAAGCTTGTTTCATGCAGAGACATGCTAATTGAGATGGATCCCTGCAAATAAAAGCAGTCATTTAAGCCAATTTCGAGTAATCAGCATTTTTGCCATGCATATATCAAAGAAAAATTAAAAATAAGGACAATCATGACTGGTTTAAAGTTTACCTTATTTCCGAGATAACCCATCAATCCTCTGCCAACACATGATACTTTCAAGTTTCGAACGTGATCCTTCAATTCACTTCTCACCCATACGGTAAGAAATATTCCCACCATTTGCTTACTTGCAAAAAGGCAGTACCTTGAACGCCCTGGCATGCCATATCCATCTTCAGCATTTGCAGGTCCACCGTAAGACATTGGTGAAAATAAGACTGTGCTTGGTGAATCTCCAAGACCATTGTCATCATCAGATGAACCCCATCTTGAATAGTCACTTGGTCTGGAGTAGTCACTTGCCCTGGAATAGTCACTAGGCCTATAACCCCATCTAAAACTGGGATCAAAGTCGCTTCGTCTGTGACCAAAAATTACACGATCACAGACACTGAATCTTCGATCTAGTCGTGGTTGAACTGTTGAAGGATCGTTGTCCATTCCCCAGCTGCTAGAAGTTGTCTGGAATGATCTCCGATGGAAGAATGATGAATTCTTCTGCCTAGCCGATCCCTCAAAATCTGCATTTAATTCTACCACTGGCTGAGGAATGGGAGATGGTGTATAATACCCGCTACCTCCACTAGTACCAGGTAGATTGTTCAAAGTTTTTCCAACGAGAGCCAGCCATTTTTTGGCAGGACCATTGTCTTCTGCCCCTAAGATATTACCAGCATTCAAGGGAACTATCTCTTGAAATCTGCAATAGAGAGGTAGAATGTGTCATCAGTAACAACTAGTACTAAGTTTGCTTGGAAAAGACGTTAATAAGTTCCAAATCCTACCCAAGAACATAAATATCTGCAGGTGCTGAGGCATGAAGCCAATCATCTAAACTCAAATTACTTGGTGGGGATCTTCCAGCCACATTCCATGTAGCAACAAAAATGCTGCCCACAGAGAAATAGCACTCGTGAGAAATTGAACACACCAAAAAAAGACCTTTTTTTTTTCCAGTAAAAATGTAAAATCTGAGAAGCAGCATACCTATAGTTATGGACATCTATAATTCGAGGATGGTCAAGATTCATTCTTCCTCGCCTGACCTGCTCTGAGTTCCTACTAAACTTCTCTGTACATTACAATAAGGAGTTTGTATTAATGTCAGCATTTAATAAAATAAATAAATAAAGATTTTCAAACGGGTAACGATTCAAAGAATTGAATTTAATTGGGTAAATGTGTACCAGTTTTGCTCTTTTTGATTGTGCGTGGCTCTCTCTCAGATAAGCTGCTCCTGCTCCTGTATTCTACGTCACCTCCTGAAGAAGGAAACAAGTTTCAAGGCATCAAGTTCTAATCCATTAGAGGTTAAAAAAGCTGAATAAAAAATAAAACTGGGAATGCCTTGTATAGGTGAACGCAGCCAAAAATGGATTACGGTAACAAACATATTAGTTTTTAAAATATGTTTTCACTCTGTTTGGCTGCCAATAAATGCAGGAAGAAACAAAATCCGTGAATATAAAACTCAGATTTTCCCCTCATTGGGAAAGCTAATTGAATTTTGTCAAAACTTGATTGTTGATATTAGATAAAAACAAAATCAGCCACAATTTGATGAATGACACTAAGCTTCAATTCTGTTTCAAAATGTTGATATTTATCTGCTTCCCTCGGTTTCTCCGCCTCCCAACTAGAACCACAAAAATTAACTACACAATGCATTTGCACTGGACAGTGATAACATCACAATCTCTTGAGGGATTGAAGCCTATGCATATTGGTGCCCTATTTTTGTTGAAAACAAAATACCCACCTCCATAAGCAATACCATCTCCTTGTCCTTGGTGTGAGTCCTCCCTCTTGCTTTTGATATTGAAGAACTTTCTGACCATTCTCTTCGACCATGAGAGCTTCATCACGCGCCAAACACACAAAAAACAGTTAACAACATGCCAAAAATTGAAAGATGCTAATTACAACATAATCAAATTGCTGAATTTCATTTCCCATGAGAGAAAAGAAAAGAAAATGTAAGTCTTTCAACAGAGGAGAGTTTAAAAACCTTGCTTTTCTTGGAATTCTCATCTCTCATTGTTAATCCTCTACTTCATACAGCTCCTCAAGTATGATGCAGTGCTGTTTACTTAAAAGAGTTACCCAAAATTATCAGCAATTCAAGGAACAAAAATTTCTTCTTTGGAAAACCCCTTCTCCGATTTCTCCACCCTCTCTCTTTTTTTGAGAACAAGCTCTTCTCTCTCAACTTCAGAGACAGCAAAATGGCGAAAGGGTGTTGTTTTGTTTCCCTCTTGTGAAATCTAGAAAGACACACTCTTATTAAAAATGTAAGAAGAATAAGGAAGCAAAATCCCCGCAAATATGCAACCAACTCGAAAGAGAGGCAACACCTTTAAAGTCTTTAATAAACGAGATTCTGAAGTAGAACAACAAGACAATGAGAGACAGAACTCTCTCAACTCAACTTATGTTTCTCTCTCTTAGAAACATAGGGCCTCGTTCTTCGCAACAACAACAAAGTATCGAATTTGAACAGAATAAAGTGAAGTAAGTGAGAGAGAGTTAGTGTATGGAGAAGAGCTTTATTGTTTATTCAATTAATTAATTAATTAATATTTTTTTAAAAAAAAAATAGAAATGGTAACCTCAGTTCAAGACAAGGCAAACATGAAGGGAGCAACGGGCAGGTTGTTTTAGCTTTTAACGTTTCTGAACATAAAACGTTTTTGGTCAGATGAACAAAGGCTGCCCCCTGGTCAGCAAAGTGAGTGAGATCTAGCAGTATCCTATAGCTGTATTCTTCTTCCCGTTTTGGTCTTCCAATCAAAGCAAAAGCAGTTGAACAAGGAAAAAGATAAAGGGGTGGTTGTATTTGTATACATTTAATATAATGTGTTCTTGAACTACAAAACTATGTGTATATTTATTTTGTTTCTTCTTTTATTGGACAGGGAATGTTTTGAATACAAGTATACTTATGTTATGTGATGGTTATGAATTATGATATGACGACCCCCACCTTATACAGCTCTAAAACACAAGAAACAAGAAAAGAAAAGAAAAGAAATATTGTAGTGTCCTGTTTTGGGTATGTGGATGAATCCCTCCAAAAACTGGTTTTTGTCTTTCTAATATTTGCCATCCTATGACTTTACATTTTATGGAGCAATGTGATGCTTGCTTCCATAAACTGGTGATAGGTGTGGAGCATGCCACGGACCGTGGGGTGTTTTGCCTAATAACTTCAAGACCTTTTTGGCACTTACCTATTACCTAGTCTCACTGTCTTCGGAAACAAGGGCAGCTGACCCAAGTTTATGGTGCTTGGGCCTTCATTCACCATGTTCACTTTTTTTTTTTTTTTTTTGGTGAATACCCTACTTTTAGTTCTTAGAAGTTACCGCCAACTTTATGGAGTTCCTGAATGCGCTAAATATACTTGTATGGGGTTATATTTTTTGTTGGTAATCTTGTCATTGAGTTAGTCTTTTTAGATAATTTTATGCATTAGGAAGGATGTTCTATTCCATCAATTTGAAAAAAAATAAAAGTAAAATAAAATATTTTTGTGAGTTTTTTCTTCAAAGTCTCATGCGCCAGCCGCCCATGCTGCTGCCTTTGAATTCCTCGAGCGTTCAAAAATCCTTGCGTCTCCAATGATGAAATATGCCAAAACAAAATGAACTTTTGGCTTTGGCTCTCCCTAGTTTGAACTCCCCCTATTGACCACATGAACCTGCCTAATCTTAATCAAACACTCATTACCCTTCAAGGGTATTTTATTTTGTCAATCAAACTTGGGTTTTGTCTAGTACTAATGATTGATTATCAAAATTATTTTTAATACGACTACATATATTTAGCTGACGGCGCAATACTTCAATTTGAAGCATATTATTATTAATAAAAAGAAAAGAAAAGACAGAAGATATACTTATAAGCTTCATAAGCTTCCACTAAGCAGTGTCTGCTTGTATTAAGGGTATATTTAGTATACAGTGTAATATAAGATATGATAGTATAAGACATGATTGAATAAAATCTGATTAAAATTTAATATTATTCAGCGTTTGACATAATATTATATAAGATAATATATTGTATAAGGTAATATCATCCAATATTTGATAATATACTGTGTAATACTAGATAGGTTAAAAATAAATAATTTTGTCAAAAATACCTTTTAATAATGAATTTACATGATTCTTTCAAATATATCATATGATCTTATTTTTTATAGAAATATGTTAACCAGTGTGCCCAAAAAATATATTAATTTTTATAAAAATAAAAATCTCCAATATTTTAAAAAATTATATATTACAAATTATTTTTTATTTTAATATACTAATATTAAAATAATATATTAATTCTTAAGAATTGCATTGGTTAATACATCAATCTCTTATCTGGCCTAATCCTACCCTCCTAGGCCTGATCAAGTTATATATCATTTTGATGTATAAAGAGATCTTGTTGTATAAACTTATACTATACGATGATCACACCAAACAACAACAACTAAAAATGTCATAACGTATAATATAAGTTTATACTATGAGGCCTTAGAGAGACCTAACTCCTTGATTGCCACGCATGACACAAAACCAAACAAAGAAAATTAGGGCTTTTCTGACACTTTTATGACAAAAGAAATAATCCAAAATACCACTAGCTGCGGTCTGCAACAATATGACAAAATTTATACGGGTCAAAGGTTTAACGAGTTTAACCACCAGTGACATTGAGATTGTATTTCCGAATTTCAGGAACTGATCAAGAACAGTGATAGTGTGGTAGGAAAAAGACAAAAAAAATGGGTCTAATCAAATCGTGGAGAATGAAATAGATACACAAAAGCTACATGGTTGAAGCAACGCAAGTAGGATTAAAGCACAAAATGGGGAGGGCCAATTGGAACCCCTTTCTGCCTTGTGAATTTCTCAAAGACATGAGTAATGAGTGGACTTCCATAGTGATCCAATCAAGGTTATCTAATCAGCATAACATAATCTTCTCCTTATAGAAAAATGTTCTACTAACTATTAAATTTGTATAAATTTATATATTATATTATGTATATGTATATATTTATGAACAGTGTCTCCAACATGACTCTATTCTTACCTTCATGGATGGTGCTGGTGACGATGTGATCTACTTTTCCTTTTTGTAGGAATTAAAGAACATGGTATACGTTTATGCATCGTTAAACGTGGGTCTTGGGAATGATATGAGACAAGAAGAAGAAAGAGAAGGGTATTTGAATAGTCCAAATAAATTCGAAAAGAGCAGAATTGTAGCAAAGACTAAAAGATAATTGGGCCACATATGGTAATTGCATATATCTAAAGTGAAAAAGAAGTGGTCCTACAAATTCGGATGTGAAAAGTCTTCATCTAATTGCCTTCCATCTTTGAGAATTGACAACCTACAAGATACAGCATCTTCATCAGTGGTATCTAAGCGGAACCAACGTTTCCGGATTCAATAAGGGTATGATGAAAAAGGATATTTGGATGCGCATTTTCCTTTGATGTATCATTCCAAGGAAGAGAGACACAGTTTCTGAAATATTTCTTTCCCATTAATTTGATTTGATTTTAGTTTTCTACCTTTAAAAAAAAAAAAAAAACAGAAAAGGTCAAGTGTTTTTGATATATCATCTAATAACATATATTTTAAGAAAAAGAAATGAGTGACTTTATATGAATATGTTCGAGAAAGTATAAACTAAACCTATAATGCTTAACTAAATGTTCAAGGGAGTCCAAACTATTAGAGGACAGCAACAAGTCTACTCGGAAATAGGTATATGGGAAATGACTATGATAACGAAATAAAAAAGAGCATCATTAAGCAAATTACCTTAAAAGAAACAATTATACTTTTATTTTCCTACACAGAAAGCAATACAATATTTCGTACTGTCATCAAGTGGTATCAAGGGGAACACTGTTAGTGTGTTCGAATATTATGAATCTCTGGAATATTGTTCACATAAAGATTGAATCAACCACACGGTATCTTATATATAGATGTAGTAGAATTTGAAACTAAACAATACTCATTATTCATCAAGAAGAAAGAAAGGGACAAGAAAATGGGAGTGTTACTGTTATTATAAGATATATTGATGATGAAGAGGATTGAGTCTTTTTGCTCGGAAAACATCGGCCATAATTAAGCAAATAATTGGAGAGCCTTGAATGGTTGGAACTTGGGACCATAGCATTCAATTTCTTGTACTATCATGCAGCTGGTATATATCATAACAGACTATGTATTATAAATTTATAATGGTGATATCTTTCAGCCAATTTAATTCAGCAAAACTAAATAAATAAATAGAGGTTAGACCAAAATCTAAAGCTCTTTTTAGAGAGAGATAGAAAGAGAGGAGAGGGGGAATGGATTGGCATTAATTGCAGAATCCAAAATTGTATTCTGTACACATATCAACTACATTGATATTTAACAAATTGCATGCTCTACAAACCATGTTCATAACTAAATTACCAAGGAGCATGAGTTGTTAGTCACACAAATCTTAATATATATATGGGATTAAAATTTCTGCAGCCGTAGATAGTGTTATCTACAGCTGGCACAGAAAAGTGGGCCCCACGATTTTTTTTAAAAAAAAAAAAAAAACTCAGGATCCGTTGCCGTATCCTAGGATTCGGACGCGGATCCTTGCTTGCTGTAGGTACAGCAGCTGCAGAAATCATTTTGCCTATATATATATATATATTATCTTCCCCAAGAGATTAATTGATAAAGATCACGTATAAAAGGCCACAAAAAACCAAAAAGAAGTGCAAGAAGATCTGCTCCTTTTGCTTTTGCTTTTTGTCTTCCTAAATCACCTACCTTGTAAAACCATCGAGGCAGTCAAAGGGAGCAGTAAATGATTTTTCTCCTCTCTCTCCCTCTCTTTTTCTGTCTTCTAATTAATTTGATTCTTTCTTGCTTTTCCTGCTTTGAGAGAGAGATACCCCAATATTGTGTCTCCTTTTCTTCTTTCCTAGTCTGAAGTTTGGATATGTACTATATGTAACATGGGTTTTGGGTTTGGGATACTTTAGTTTTCAAAATGTGATAAAGCTCTTCTCATCAGTCACCATCTTTTGCGTTAAAGAG